CATTCCTGTGACATTCAAACTACAGTATATGCTCTATGCGTCTGATATGTAACTTTCTTACACGCCATTTAATTTCTGTTTTGTTTACTATTTCACGACGAAAAATGTTTCATATCTATGACTTCAAAAAAAAATGGCGCCCTGTAACTGGCTTGTCATATTGGAGAATTTCAAATTGCCAATTATGCATTCTAAGATGAAGGGAAATTTGGGCATTTGTCCGGTCATGATCGTCTACGCGTACATTAGCTAGCACCCTCTATTACATATATAATTGACCTGTCTTTGCTGTGTTATGTCTGTTTCGTCTTCAGTAAACACGGAAGAGAGCCGTACCAGTGATTAAGAATATCCGGAATATTTACAATTAGTTATCGGCACGGTGTTGAGATTTGTATAGTGAATACACTGTGACTCGGCTTGTGCTGGTTAGGGCGGCAAGTCTGTCTGTGTGTCTGTGTGTGTGTGTGTGTTTGTGTAGTGACTCGGCTTGTGGTGGTTAGGGCGGCAAGTCTGTCTGTGTGTGTGTTTGTTTTATCAACGTTGTGACGACTTCCATTTAACTTACACCTATCAAGTGACGGCAAACCTACCAAGTGACAACCCTCATTATTCTTCATAATTTATATTAATATTTAATCGAATTTAAGTCAAGTTTGCACAGCTTAGTGTTAGTAAAGAGGAAGGTATGGTACAATTTATATTAATATTAATATAATTGTACCATACCTTCCCTTTTTACTAAACCTAAGCTTCGCAAACATTTCTATGTTAACACAGAATGTATGATGTTATTTCTTCTTTTTGTTGCATTTTTATTTAATTAAACTTGAATTAAAACGCAATTTTATATTGAATTATAACTGAGCTTACTTAAACTCCAATTAAATAGCAACCCTATATAGAGTTGCGTTTTAATCCAAACATGACATAACTATATTAAAAGTTAATTCAACTATATTAAAAGTCAATCCAATGTGTGTCGTCAAAACGATGGTAAGACGTGTATGCGATGATATAGTAAGGAATAAATTAAATAAATAAATAAATAAATAAATAAATAAATAAATAAATAAATAAATAAATAAATAAATAAATAAATTTAGTTCTCTGGACTGTTCTTTTAAAACCTTCGGACCAGATGATTGTTTTTTGTCAGTGTTTTATTTTATCGATGCTCTGGCCTTTATGTTTTTTTGATAAATTTCGGGCTCAATTTTATATGGTTACAATTCAAAATGAGTGTTATTTTTATTTTATTTTTATTTGTATTCATAGTGAAGACACTATCATCACACGCTCTTTCAAATTAAGGTAGAGTTGCAGGTTCGTGGGCACTTGGGAGTGATTTTTTTTTTTTTTGCTTTTTATTATTCAAACAGTCTTGGCTATAGACTGTTGACATTTTGCAGAATTGTGAATAGTGGAACATACTCAAAAAACGATTTTAAAATATAGATAACAGGTGCAAACATTCTCTCTTTTGAATGCTTAGCAAGATTTAGCAAGGCTGTACATAAATAATAAAAAAGAAACATGGTGGGAAAAAGAAATGATGGGATCTCCATATTATGCACTATATATAACTTTTAACAGAACGATAATACATTTAAATTTGGAACTGTTACAGCCATTTTAATTATGAGCATTAGCAAACTACTTACTGAGTGAGTTGTTATGCAAATTAGCAATTATCTCAGCCTTTCTTTAAAAAATAGCATCTAGGCGCTTTGACCTTTTGTTTTGAAATGTTCACAAATGATTGACAATGTGTTTATCTTCAAAAAGCCGTCGGGACATTGTTTTTGGTTGAACAGTGTTACAACAATCGTACAGACAACTAGCCTGGGTGTTAATTTATGCATAAACTTGAAGTAGTGAAATTTGAGCTGCTGCCCTGCAAAATTGATAGACTGGTAGACAGTTTTCAAGACCGCGTTTTCTTCATAGTAAACAGATGTACCTGTAAACCAATTTTGACAGGAAACAGAAGCATGGTTTAGAAGCTAATTTTTTTAAAATCACTTTTGACCAAAAAAGCACATTTTTGTGCATATTTCAAATTACAGTGTCCATAAAACAAATACTAACAAAATGTTAAAATTCATACAATAAGCTTTCCGAAAATATATAGTTTTGTGGACAATGGAGGTCATCTTGGTTTTCTAATTAACTAATTAAAATACCTGTCAGGTAAACTGCATCTCTACCTTAAAACAATACTGATTGATTGATTGATACTGTCCCCTTCATTCCATGTTCAACATATAACAAAATGTTTACGTGTGCCCACATATATAGTTTAGTGAAACAATTACAATTACAACTATGAATTCTCAATCAGCAATTGTATAATTTTACTTACATATAGTGTGTGATTATATATATACAGATGAGAATAAACATGTCACAAATAAATTACGGAATAGGTCAGGGGTGTGTGATCCCTGATCGCATGAGGGCGTTCGGGTCTTTTATTTTTCACCACCAGCTCAGAGCATAGGAACTCGCTTCTCAACCGCCTATTAAATTGGATTACCAGTCTGTGTTACTTAGCATTGCGTGGATTAGTTACGAATCGTTTATTTTAACGAGGTTATGGATGATCAAAAAAAATTTCTCAGTATCCGAGAACCACGAACGAATTACGGTAGCCGGGGGAATCTAGCACCGCTGTTCTACAAGCGTTGTGACGATTGCCACTCTATTCTTTGTCTTCAACAAGCCCGGTTTATCCTGTCTGGATTGTGGTTATATACCGACATCATATAACAGTACAGTAACCAGTCTCAACTATGTCACAGCCACTCTCATCAAAGCGTTCTTTATCATGAATTGCTTGTAGTATTTGAGATGTGTGTTTATCTTAGTGACTGAAGTTCAGCTTGATTGATCGTGTGTATAGATACTTGGACTGGTAAAAACGTTCTCTTAATAGCAAGCCCACTAAAACAGGACTTAAAGAGTTAGACAAGTGCCGTGACAGACATGAATTGCCAAGTAAAAGGAATTTGAAACATGAGTTACACACAGTTTAGGGAAAATGCCAAACATCTCACTGCAAGTTGCGAGACGCCAAAATGATAGTGACATTGACAGTAACAATGAAACAAAAATTCTTCAATGCGCCTTTCCAGAAAATCATTCTCCCCTAAATTCCTTAGATTGTCTATTGTTTACAACTGGGCCTCCTCCGAATTTACCATACGAACTGTTGTCAAAACCAAAGCCGACTTATATATAGCACATATACTACACATCCTCATAGATGAGGGCGCACCTCACGTCCGTAGCATTTTCAAACTACTGCCTAATATGAATACATTACAACGCTGCCTATATACCCTATATCTATTTTTAAATTTTCGCTCTAAATAAAACATGGTGTTGGATAGTAATGTTTTGTCACGTTCTGCCATAAAGAATTGTGGTTATTTTTCGGGGCAGAAAGTTTTTGCTATTGTTAGCGTGACTTTGGATTAGGGTAGAAGCCTTATTATATTTTTTGGAAAAGTTGGTCATAAATCACATGACAATATTCATTGGTTTATGTAAAACCATAAAGATATTGTCTCATGACATGAAATAGCATTTCGCGTATGTTACAGTGACGTATTTTAAGAAACTTGTCCTAATATTTTTCAAGAATCGCTATTTTTAGAACACTTCCATAGAACACAACACTTTTTAAAACGTAGATTTTAAAATAATTCAGGAAAACAAAAAGCGGTCAAACATTACCAGTATATTATTGTTTCAGCCCATGTCACCAGCCGACAATACGACATAAAAGTGAAAGTGTTATAATACTGACAAAATACTAAAATACAACCATAATTTTCTCGACAAATTGGCTGGTAACCCTTCAACTTTTCAGATAAATCTGCTTGTATACTATTTCTATTCTAGAGTAATACTAATCATAACAGTCTACTAACCCTTGACAGCGGAGGTGTTTTTACCAGAAAAGTACCCACAATACACATTTATTTGAAGAAGACTGTTTTACGGATGTAGGTATTTACCACGTGACTTGAAGTACACAACTTATTATTGGGAATGTACATTTTATATAATCCAAATGGTATTTCAAATGAATGGTCTATTTTTAGGCAGCAACACACTGGATTCGAACCAACGATTTTCAAATCGACGAGCTGTGTAAATGTTAAGCAGGTAGTTTATGGCTGACAGCAACATGCAATACGATATGTATATGAACCAGGTGTGATTTCTAAAGTCATACTTCTATACAAAAGGAGTTACGTAAAGCACGTACAGATAACCCGCGATATGGCTGCAATAAACACACCTAAAACTCGCAGTATTGGTTAAAGTATGGCAATTCGGGCGAGCTTCGGACGTTTACTGGACCCCATACAGGCCGCCAACTACCATTAGCGTTCTCCTAGCAGTAACATTGTAGTTGTCCAGAAATTCCGAGATTCCCTATATTGATATACGCCACCAACGGTCAGACTGACGATAAATATACATTTGTTGCACATGCCAACATAATATTGAGGTTTTCTGAGAGAAATATATTTCTTCTTTTGGTTCGAGTATAAATTGAATGCACTTATGGCAGGTGATAACAAGGGTTGCAGTCTCCATCATTGTTCTTACTGCTTTAACTAATCTAGACGGGGAGAGTGATTTCAAACAATCTCTCAGAGGGATTCGTCGGGGGAAATCATTTTCCCTTTCCTTGTTCAGTCGCTCAACATCATCGCTGTTACACCTATGCAAATCAATGTAGTTGATAGTATTTGTCATCCAATTAGAACGCGCCTTATTGGAAAGTAACATTAAACGCGCATGCTTATTGGTAGTTTGTTCTGCGAGATCTGAACATAATTGGCATTGTTGGTGTAAAGATGATATCGAAGTGTTCTTTAGACATATATATATACACATATCGAAGTGTTCTTTAGACATATATATATATATATATATATATATACACATGTCACTATCACACATAATAATTCTACAACAGTGTTCGCCACATAACATTTATTTCATGAATTATTCACAATATCTGCAATAAAGAAACGACGTCTTACAAAAAAAGTATTCAGGAATGTTGACGAGACAAAAGTCAATAGGCACATCACAATAAAATCACAGTGCTATCACCATCCTTGATATAAATAAATCAGTTGCCATTACAAAAATAAGCATTGTCTACACTGCGTATACTGACACCTGTTTTATGCGAAAGCTGATGACATCTGTATGAGCGTAACCAACTAGGCCGCCATCTTTCACGTTACTTGGCAACTCATGGGAATGTCATGACGTCGATATTCAGATCCTTCGATTGTGAAATTAGCCGTGATCACGTGATTGGTTGGTTCGTGGCATAATATCATTCAAACGAGGAAAATAAGTATAAAAATATAAATATAACTAATAAACTTAGAAATGTCTTGAAAACGTTATCTTTTTATAACTGAGTAATGACTCACAATTCGCCAAAATCAAATGACACATACAGTCGAGATTATCGAAAATTCGGAAGACAATTTGTAAAATGTCGTCGCCTACCATGTCCGGTCAATAATGAAGACACGTCACGTGATTTAATTAAAACTGTTTCATAACATGCTTGAAAATAAAAAGAATACGTTTCGTTTTCATTCAAACCTTGGCAAATGTCTAACAAATAAAATATTTGGAAATTAAAATGAAGTCGTTAGATATGAACATGTCCAATCAACGATATCGTTAGATATCTAACCATGTAATCATCGATATCATTGGATAACACATTATCCAATCAAAGATAGCATTAAATTTTGAGAGATCAGAAATATAACTATTCTATCCGTCACTAAACATGAACAGATTCAGTTATAACAGTTGAGATGTCCAATAAACGATATCGTTTCATCCAGTTAACCAATCAGAATATCGTATCATTTCATCTGACCAATCACTGACTATTTAGCACCATAGTGGTTGGCTGGCAGTATATGCTGGAAACAAAAAAAAACATGACATTGTTCCACTAATCCCTTGTTATTCGCAATAAACAAACATAGTGTTCAGATATTGCCTGCAACACGGATTATTGGACCAGGTGCATGATGGGAAGCACATAATACTAATAATGACAAAAACGCACTGACGCTGGCATACTTCACACATATACTTATGTATAGAATGTGAAAACAATAAAAACGCCATAAAATGCAACTAGTAATATTATAATATTAGTAAAAATGATCCATTTGCTGTACAAGAACTGAAGATTTTAGTGATCATAATAACAAGTCACATGATCAACTCATAACTATTTGTATGCTTCAAGTCTATAAACAAATGGGTAACTTTCACTGTGTGGACAGGTATGTCTAGTTTTTTTGTTTTGTTTTATTCATATAGAGGCTCCAAGTGTGCCAGGACTCTACTAAAGCGTTACGTCACTAACTATTACATGTCTAGTATAAGAGAGAATATCATAGAAAGCTACAGGATACTAATTACTGGCAGATGAATATACATTAATATACAAAGCCCTTAGAGCCTCTAAGTTCGGTTGTATTTTAGAAGATTGAACACTGATTATGAGAGATTTTATTCTTTGGCTTCGCCTTCCCCGCCGCCTTTGTCACCACTTTCACCGTCTGGTTTCTCATCAGCTGCATTTTCATCACCGCCTGCCTCTCCGTTGGCCGCTTTATCTCCATCATCACCATCTTTTTTGTCTTCCTCTGCTTCCTCTTCTTTTGTTTCACCTTCAACTTCATCTTTCTTTTCTTCTTCTTTAGTCTCTTCTGCCGGAGCTGCATCCGCTTTGGATCCTTTGGTCTTAGCTAATAATTCATCCCAGTCTGGGTAATATTTCTCTTTGATTCTTTCACAGTAAGGCTTTAAGTTAGTGCACTCCTCCGTGGCGAACTTTTCATGGGGCGATCCTGGCATCGCCCAAACAATTTGGGCCAAGATTCCGAACAGCGTGGCATCAACTGTTGTAGGGCTGTCGCCGAAGAAATACGTCTTCTCACCTGAAAATACACAAAGACAATTGTTAATATAGTTGAAGCAAATGATGAAATCTAAAACAACTGATTTACATGTAAGCATGTCTATGTACATATACATATGAGTACAAGTATATGAGCATGCGCAGAAGGCTTTAAAACAACTTTAAAGCTCTGACAGCATGAGAGAGCTATTACAGACTTACCAAGGTATTGTGATATGGCTTTCAAGTCGTCTTGTGCAATGCGGTATATTTCATCCTTGGAGTGGCGACCAATACCGTGAGCATGCAGATTATTACGAACATTCTTGCGTACCATCTTCACCAAAAACCATCGAAATGCCTGTAAACATTGAATACGTGAAAAATGAGAACTTTGCGAGCGTGCATGAGATTGAGTTATACAAAAGTAAGATGCTTCTCTGTTCGAGTTTTAAAATACTGTAAAGAAAGTTGAAATAGCTTCATGCCATTTTAACGAATTTGAGTCAATGCACTAATTAACAGAATTTTAATTTAGTTAAGTACCAACAATCTCATTGCGGGAATATACTTTATTTTACATTAAAGAGATTTTAATTACCGAAATTACGGATTTAAATTAGCTAAAAAATATTTTACAGTATAAAAAGATACCCAAGTCACGTGACAAATATGACAAATCTCGTGGGTATGCAGATTAAAGTGAGTTTGAAATTTGATTTTTTTTCCTGATATTTCGAGTGTGCATAACAACTCTTACCGTTGGGAAAGAATTCTTGAAATACTCATCCGATGTGACGATGTATCGATGATAATTAATTGTCCTGTGGAAAAATAAAAGACATTATAATAGGATTACGTTGTAGATAACTACGACGTAATATAAACTTTTTGGTCTCGTGGTTAACGTAACTTGCTACATACATCATATAAACCACCTTTCAATTTTATTACAATCTCTGAGTTGAGTCAAAGCAAATATAAAGGGTAGAGTTGAATACGTCGAACAAAAACTATCGAGAGACAAGCTGTTTGATTGGACTGTTTGTACTATACGGTGCATATTTAATTAGTAAACAAATGCCACACAATTCCAGATCATTGCACACTACTGGATACAATTAAATTTTGTTTGTTTAGTTTGTTGGTTATATTGCGTCATTTCTTCATGAACATACTTTGCTACAATGATAATAATAAAACTATCCACTCTAATTAGTAAAGAATTCATATAAAATCTCATACAATTACTCCAACCTCTCGTATTCCGTGGTAAATGGCGGATGAACTAGTTTTGAAACAGTTTTCTTGTAACGTTAAATATTATAGTAAATTGTTTATTCTGTCGTCATATTTATTCTGCCATTCCACCGTGGTAAAATACTTACTTTCTAGATTGAGTGTATCAGTTGTCTGTGATTTTAATCATCGTTATGTAATGTAGAGTATTAATTTTACATTTAGTATTTCAGTTTCGAGTTTTTGAATACATCACTGCCCTTTATTAATTTGTATCTTGGGTAGGCCACACATGTTATCATATTTTTACTATTGCTTATAATTGTTTTTTGTATTTGAGTTCTATTTAAGAAATAACCACCCTCAAAAGCAAGTATAGCACAAGTTGTATACGTTGCATGTAACAAACGTCAAATTATTTATCAAAAGGACGCCATCAGCTGGTCACTGGGAGATACTCCCAAACACACGTAATCTATGCTTGAATTATTCCTTATTTTTGGTCACTATCCATCGTTAAAATTTAAATTTGCGTCAAACATAGTGACAGTTTTTATAACCTCATGGATATGTTTTCTAGGTGAAGTGGTTTCGTTGAGTCACGAAATGCAAAAGTGAAATGTACCACTTCTCGCAACGTAGACCAACGACAGCGTGCGTGACGTCATCGCCACGTGGATGAATCGTGATAGGCTGAATCTTCTGTTTGGTAGGCGTAGTCAAAGTCAATCCATATACTAGTACATGTAATTCCCATTTCATTGATTATTGACGCAAATATTCCAATATGCAATATATAGCAGAATAATACTTACATATAAATTACAATAACAATGTTTGGCTTATACAAAACGAAGAGAGTATCCTTTATTAAAAATTGGTGTAAGGAGATAATTATTGAGAATATAGATGATTACATTTAAAGAAACTACCTTGAATCCAGAATAGCACTGTTTTGAATACGTCTGGCCACCATTTTTGTATTTGCTAATAGGCAGTCAAAATTGAGTGTATTAAGTGAGGCAAATATAGATTACATTACGCTTGGTCGCCATTAGGTCATTTCAAGTCGGCAAAACTTAAATAATTTAAATGATAGATTTTCGTATATTTTTTCAAAACTCAAAAAATGGACAAATTTTAAAATGCATTATATGAAAAAACAGTTATCATATGTATACGTATTTCCTGGTTTTAATAAAGTGGATGTACGTATTTTAAAAATTGAATGATCAGATTTACTTCTAAATATTTTGACAAATAAAAGTATTGAAAAGTAAATAAATATATACTCGACTATTATTATCGACTGTTATTGTCTTATCACATATATCACTTACTTAGTTTATTCCACGGATGCAAAGGTCAAGGGTCTCCTTGAATATGAGAGCGGAAACTCTTAACATAATAGATATATTAGATGTTCTTCGAAATATTCCGTGTTTCATTCAATGCATGTGTTATCTTATTGACAAGCTCCAAATGGATTTATTTAACATATGCGAAAAGATAATACAATTTAGACGCATTTATAAAACCTGACCTGACAGTGAATATCGAATTCCTAATAATATAAAAACGTTTTCCCTCGTGTTGTGACTATCATTGTTTTCATGGGAGAGGGGCTGTGTTTTGACTGTTTTACTCTACGGGGGTTATATTGACATTAGTGTTTCCACGTAAGGGGGCTGTGGCTGTTTCTACTGGATAAAATGTTTTCGTTGAAACAAGATGTAACTAATCAGATGTCGCCTTTATACAGATTTGTTTGTTTTTTCTGCAAAATTGCAATTACTTATCCAACCGAACACCGCCGGCATGAAATTCTGAAGAATGGTTTATCCCTTTAAAGCGAAACGCTCCACTGATAATGAACTGCCTGGTTTATTTAGAGGAGGCGTGTATCATTTTACGATCCTTTCGGAGTGTACTACTTTCCGTTACCCTCCGCACTGCCCTCGGGTTGTCAAAATATTTTGGTAAGACATTTGTCAGTCACCTTTGAAATGCATAATATTGTGTGATTGTTTCTACGCCTCAATGTAATTATACTGACACGTACGTGTGGGGGTGAAAGAAAGAAAAAAACAATGATTGCCCAGTACACGTTGACAACGCACTACAATGCAAAAATTAAAAATGTCCATAATCGCCCGATGTATAACCGTATTAAGGCCTCGCAAAAAAATGTTCTGCTAAGAAACAAAACTTAAATATAACTTTTGTTAGGCCTTAGCGACCAGACCTTGAAAAGAGTAATTGCTTAATCATTGTAATGTCAACTTGCGTTAATTGCGTCATCACATCAACTGTTTATGCTCGCGTATGTTATAAAGCATTCAAGGAGGTCTATGTTAGCTGTCGCAGATGTTAATATATTTGAATTTTAATAGATTCGAGGCAGACAAGGTCACGTGATGCAGTATATCACGTGCTCGTTATGATGCGAGTTGAAGGATGATTCAAGGCTGTCTGAGAACGAGGCTGAACGGTGGGAATGAATCGAAATCCACCTGAATGAATTACTCCTGAGATGTAATATTGAGATTGTATACAAAATCCCCCATAGAGCCGGGGTCCTTGGTGGTTACGAAAATAAACACAATAAAACGTTTATTCCATTTTTACAGCACATACTAAGAATGTAATAATTGAAATCAATGTCAAGTGCACGCAGTAAAATAGACAGATGGGAACACGGGATTTGGTGTTCCCTCTAAAGGCCTCATTCAATTGCTATTAACTTGCAAGTCATGAACGCTGTTCCGTCTGATGATAAATTAGAATGTGACCTCTGTTGTCGAGGACGGAGTCGTTAAATACGTTGGATTACTATCTTTCACGTTTCGACTATTTTTATATTGAATGTAATCTATGAGACATCATTTATTGTAATTAACATTACAGGAGTTTTTATAAAATATGGAATACATCTGTTTTATATTACACGCCTTTTGCTGTTATAATATATTTGCATATACGCTTACATTTCTTCACATTTTCTTATTGAAACCGACACTAACGCTACTGTGTCGAGATTGACACGATATGGTGGTACTATCGGTCGCAGTATGATATGATTAGTTCTTGTAGATAATAACCAATTTATTCAGTAGTAATAACTATTTCGTTCTCAAATATCACATTATTCTTTAATTGCTGTCACGTGGTAATGGTTCCTTTAAATGGCACTGGCAATATGCAACCGTACGTGATATATTGGTACATACGTGTATTATCATAGCAACAATCCCAGCACGTTAAGTAGACACATGCCGTCAGTGTTGTGGCAGATATACTTTACACGTAGGTAGACAAGGCAGGAAAACAGACAGAATTCAATTAAAAATCATAAATAATATATTCAAGGTGATAAATGGAGAGCCGCGTTAAGAGTAGAAACATGGATCCTCGAGGGATATAACGGCGCATAGAAATTGTCACGTGATACGAAAACGCTGACAAACATGAAAATCGCAGACGATTTTAAAGGGTGTGGTAATGCGGAAGAATATGATAACCGGATAACACATTATGTCAAATAGTCCCGTTTGAATTGAAAATAACTTCAAAATGGTGAAGACAGAGTGTCCAAATATTGAGACTATATGTCAGGAGCAAACGGGTGTTTCAAATTACGGATGCAGACAAGTTCAAAGGTCGGGGGGGATAATATCTTTTACTTGAGGATTAACATAAATATTCTAAAGATTGGATACTCGCCGTGTTACATTATCTTTTACACTAGCGATTAATATAATACAGTTCTTACGTTAAGTTTTTCTTTTATACAAACATAAAAACTTTAAATACAATGGTTATTGTGTAGACGTATATATGATGTCACATAGGGTCGCACCGGCCGATTAAGCACGTGTCACGTGACACCCTGCAAGATTGACTGTACTGAACAAGAGAAAAGTGCATTCACTCAACATCTCGCGTAGTTATGATCATGTCCACTACTAATTATTGACACTAACTGAACTACGGCATCTCACGTATCCATTGAATTGTGTTGCTATGGTGACACAATATTCGTCAATCACGTTTATAGTGATTGAGGGCAATATTGCCATGGTTACCGTTATAGAAATTCAATATAAGGCGCGTCAGGTTTGTGATTGCAACTTACATGGTTCAAAGGTTTCCTTAGGAGTGAACCATTTGAAATTATGGGGGTGTCTAGAACTAGAGTGTGACAGTTCCGTGTTTTGGGGTGTCTTATTTATACATTTTTTTCTTGAGAGTTTTTCCCTATAACACCTTGCATTGATTTTTTTCCTCTGGTTTCTTGCCTCCAAATTATTTTCATCAAATCTTCCAGCCACACCACGTGATTTTGAATGGTCGACTTCTTAGCGGCAGACATGACACATACTGGCCAAATCATAGAAGAGCACATGTTACTGTTATAATGTATTGTAGGCGAATATCGTGCGCGTTGTTCTCTGGGATATTTACTGGTCACTCTTCCCTACCTTAAATAGTATGCAGCATTCGATTTGTTTGTTTTTTTCAACTGGCCAACAAAATTTGGAAGAAGTGTTTTCCAGAGTGCAGTGGAGATCGGATACGAGTAATCATTTCTAACAACAAAATCAATAACTGTCTATTTCAGTTGAATACAAATCCAAAACAGGAAATATGTTGGTGAGCATTTCACAAGCACTTTAAGGAGATGACAGCAAAGACAATACATATTTCTATCCTATTTAAATAATTTGGCTATGAACTTACAAACAACAGTATACTGTAAAATGACTAATTTTCACTGGGTTTAAATTTCACTGATTTACCATTTCAGGCATATACAGTGGGTTTTAAATTCACGGTTTTATCATTTAGATAATGTGTTCTATGCCAAATTTTACATATTTACTAGGTTTAAATTTAGCGCATTTTCCAGTCAACGAAATAAGCTAAATTAAAACCCAGTGAATAATTAACCCTTTTACAGTATGTCAGACACATGGTACGAAGACCTACGGCCTATAAGTACAGAACATACAATGATACAATGGATATACCTGGATACAAAACCATAGGTTGCAGTAGCACGTTTAATCATGACATGGAGAAAAATCTAGAATGATTTTTTAATATGGGTACACATTTATAAATGATATAAATTGTTGGGAAAGTGATGAATGTTTGGAATATAAATGATTGCCCAAGTGTCTGATAAAAAGTCAAACCATACGTATATAGAATTCAGCCTCGATTTGATTTTCGTTCCATTAAATACACACTTCTCGGATCTATTGTTGTGGAGATGTCTGCTTGCTTCAATGCATACATTTGGGGTGCAATTCGAAGTCTAAACAAGCCTGCTCGACGAAGGACATTGTCAATTATATTTAAATACCTTTCTTGACCAAATGTTTGGAATTTTGTTTACAATTTTGGAGATTGTTATGTCATTCTTGAATGCCAATATCGCGACACCTTCTATTAAACAATAATCGACATTGCCCACTCCCTGGTTTGTCCACATCTCGCCCACACCTGCTGTGAATAGTGACAGCTATTTTATATTCCAACTCTAGCATAGCCTGTCTTTATAAGCCTCATCTTTCTCATAGAGGTAACACTGGTGAGCCATACGATGTGCAGGCATTGGGTTGTAACCAATGTTTTACAATACGAACCTTTCCACAGGATTAACAAGATGGAGTAGACTTTAAAACAAAACATATATTTTGGATGAATTAATTTTTTTTTACCAAAATGAAATTTCACTTCTGGGAATGTCGTCGAATTTTCAAATCAAAGATAGTGTAGAATAAGTTTACACGTAAATCACCCAATTTTAAAATGTTTTACTTACTGGAAATAAAAAACACATTCATAATCAGGCACTATTCAATATGGTGTTGTGCAAAGATTAAAAAAGGACTTGTTCTGTGGCCATAGCTTTCTTATTGTCATATAGATGTGTTGTTTAACAGTTCACGAAAATATAGTCAAGAGAGGTGAAAGATCATGTCAGCTATCCGGAAATTGTTGTTTTGACTATTAACACTTTACATATAATAATTAGTTCCGGATATTTGATCGCCAGTACACGTTGCAATACAAGTATAACAAGGTGTTTTACAGTCATGTCAGTAATAATGCATAGAACGTTGAAATTTACAATACTTTCTTCCTTTAGTATCACGTGACAGTGCACTTAAATTGCGTGCTATGATTCGTAAAGTTTTATTCACATTATGCAAATATGTGAAACAGAACATGCTAAAAGTATCAAATGTACGAAAATGATGTATTTGTTAAAAAAATATGGAATATTAAAAGTCAATGACTTTTTCACACATTTCACTTTGCGATTACAAGGGGGTTTTATCCCTTAGATAAACATATATACAATGTAACCTTCAATAACAAACACAGCCTTCTATCCATCCACAATCTCGACATGTTTGGTGTATATGTTTGTAAAGGGTTGATGGCACCTCACATAGTATAGTGGGAACGCAACTTTAAAGTCAGTCAAAACAATGCAACACAGAACAAAGTGAAATAACATATTATGTGATTTTACCATGAGGTTGTGTGTATATATATTCAGTACGACAACTCACTATAGGGAGTAATAAAAGACACTTCACAATAAATACATATACTACGTAAGAAAGTTGTATAAATGAGCACGTGATTACTACTCACCAGTAACAGTTTTCTTCCGCTAGTCGTTGAAAGGCCTTAGCTGCTCCCTTATTAACATCACTAAGGTCCTTATTGAGATCTACCTCGAACTCCTTGTTTATAAAATCAATACAGAACGAGGAATCTGGAATCTCTTGGCCCTTGTACTCTATCCATGGCAGTTTTCCCTATAATAAACAAGAAAACGTACTCTGTGTTACCCCAAACTCACCACGCCCAAATCGCTGTCGAAATACCATACACCATGGTGTGTGTGTGTGTGTGTGGGGGGGGGGTATTTAGACTGGCAACGTCGGGACTTCTTTTTTGTTTTACAATGAAAAATAATTGTCGATTTAGCCTTTTTAGCGTGATTGCGAAAACTAGCGTGGGCACTGACGATTAGTAATACAAAGATGGGATTTTACCAAATCACGAATAAAAACAGATAAAATATTAATAAACATAAAAGTGTGTACATTTAATAACGCAAACCATGTCGTGGTGGATGTGTGACACTATGTTAAATTTTCTAAACTGTTCACTTAATTTAAATTTTTAATATTACTAGTCTGAGCATGTCATTAATTCATGCCCAGTGTGATTCAAGGGCATATAGCAAGACGTTACAATGCTCTCGCAGTAAAAATGTCGAGTTGAACTGCACAGCTATATGAATATTTAATGACTTGGTCACGCATCGTGTAAACGCGATCACGGAACAACTACACGCACGAATCTACGTAATTCAGGTCATAGGTCACATTGTTGGTATTGAAGTGCACTTATTTCACATTGGATCACATCATTGACCCCCACATTCTCGAGATACACTAATCATTCAATCAAATCTAAGAAAATAAACAAATAAATAAATCAAACGAGGCGTTGGCTAATCTTTAAGATTCCTGAACTTGAGATCATTCCTCGCAGCATGTTATGGGAAACATTACCGTAAATCATTATCTAGGGAAAGTGCTGGGAATGGAAACAGATATAAGGATACTCCCAGCACGCAATTAAATGTTACCGTGAATATGAAGGCCGCTTTTGCAACCTGAGCCCCACCACGCCTTATAAACTGATCACTATTGGTGAGAGAAAGGGATGTGCTGTGTTAAATTCTCACCAGATCATTCAATAACCGCCACTATGAATGTTAATTAGCTATTAAGTGTAGCCAAGTGAAGTGACTGCGCCATTCATTGACTGTAGTGTACTCTGTGTGCACTAATGTAACACAATGTGGTAGGAACATAACCCGTTTTGCGGCTGTGTCAACTCAAGAACGCGGTAAACAGGATAATGTATTACATTATCATACAGGGGGGGGGGGGTGATTCGTGTTGTTCAGGCTAGCAAAATCCAAATTTTAAAAATTATCTCAGGTTTAATATTTTCATGTGGTTTGTAGTTCAATGCAAGTACTACGTACACGAGCCCGCCCATCTCAGTCAGAATTTATAATATATGCAGATGGGAACAAAGCGAGTTGTTGCGTAACATAATAAGGATGTGTGAAAACTCAGCATGTAAGGATGTGGTGTGAAGCCAAACAGGATTGCATGCGATGAATCACTGTGTAGTGAAACTGTCATGACGGAAACGACATATCTATCTATACATGATGACTGTAAATATCAGAGAATATATTATGCTAGCACGGCTGTGAGTAATAATGAGGTCAGGCAGGACTTGTCATGAATATATATCACATAATAAACGGAGGCAAAGGAGGGGTAATTTAGTTCGCTACTATTGAAGATATAACCCCTAGACTATATATCTATTGTTCGTACGGCGCGTACCCACCATGAGAACAATGCAAGTGGACGCGCTCGACTAAATTAAATCGCACTATGCTACCTTATAACTGACACTGAAGATGAGTGAAATGCTTATACTGATCTTGGATATTTAATGAGATCGCGCACACGCCCGGCATACCAATATAACTGATTAGAGGAAAAAGAGCAAGGGCGAACCACTCCCAATGTAGCATCATGTAAAATGTGATACTTTTTAATATTTCGATATCATCGGCGTTTCTTTTCGCACAAAATTGTCAGTCAGTTAAGCTAGATGTGGTGAAAGTACACACATTAAGTAGATTTTGTTTCAAGTATAAAATACGGCTGTTGATTGTACATGTCTAGCAGTAACACACCCACCTTGGCAGATCTCTTCATTCCATATCGGTTTTCGTAAGGAACATCGGACATACGCAGATACGTCTCTAGTTTCAAGCAAAACGCCGAATGACTCGGGATGTCTTTTTGAGGAGCAAACTGATGAAGCACCAGTTTTCCTTTTTCAGGAATCTCTGTCGTCTTTGACGGTGTCGAGTTGCCTTGTTCCGCTGCCATCTTAGAGGGATGTAGAGTGCACGTTTACTGCATTGATAATGTTTTAGCTGAGAATTAGCAAGAGTAAATCTTGGGACTTTCCTATTTTTCGCACAGGGGGCGACGCTCAGTCTAATGCCAGTTGAAATACGTTTCCTACTCTGACTCTTTGCTTGAATGTAAACTTACATAAATGGAACACAAAATGTTACTTAATTACATTAAATATTTTTAGTAATACTTGATAATGATTGTTTAAAATACATTTTCGTCCATATACAAGTGCACACTACCCACGACGTATTAATAGTATACCCTTTTATAAACCTATTTTCTATTGGCCAATGCGTGCAGCCAATACACCTCTCAGCCAATTATCAGAGCTGATCAAACAAACGTTCTTTCTAGGTCTAGTAAGATTAATAAAGTTAAACATTTAAATTTTGCATTTCTTCGGGACGTTATGGAACAAAAGCTTTGTATTATTACCACATTCTCAAAGGCATAGACATAGACATGTTGAAATTATTATTCATTAATCAAGAGGGGTGCGGGAGACGTGATAAAGAAGAGCCAGAGCCCGAATGGCTCTAGCCGGACAAGGTCAGTTGCGCCCTTTGCGGTGCTCTAAACCTCAGACAATTGTATTACTTGTCTGAGTCCAAACCCAACAGTGAGGTATGATGCCATTCGGCCGGCGAGGGCGCTACTCACGCCTACATGTCAGGCTAGGACAGTAGTTAGATATGCATACCGAGTGGGTAACGCCGGGATAAACATATCGAGGTTGATAACTCCAGAATAAGCATACCCCCCTAAGAAATTTCCTAATGTGGACGTGCCCCTGAAATGGGTCTCGTTTTTTGGATATAAGTATCGGTCTTATTTCTGTTCAAGATATCTATAAATATCGGTAATATTTTTCCGATTTGGTACTGTTGTTTCTCATTTAACAATCTAAATAACCTAAACATTGTGTTAATAATATGCTCTTATGTATGTGACAGAGGTGTTTCTATGGTCAAAATACATATTTTAATAAATCAATATACAATGAAACTGTTGGTTTACATGTACATTGGAGATGCTCTTCTAATAGAGCAAATACGGTAGCTGTTTTATTTGGAATAAATTGTGATGACAGAAATGGTACGTCGGGTATAAATAGGTATAGATTTTGCCACTATCCAGGTATAAAAATGGTCACACATTTGAGCACTCAGGGGCACCTCCCTACACAGCTATATATCAACAAGTTGTCGCAGTTTGACAGAACAGAAAACTGAGGGCTGTTACCGATATTAATATAAATATATTCCCAAAGTTGAGGAGCAAGTCAGATAGTCTGGCTTGTAACTGTTGCTGCACCAAGGTTACTATTAGTTACTAACATTGTGGAACATTTTGTGGAAATGCATGGCCGGTGCAGTACTGTTACGGTTTTATGTTCTGGAGTTGCTAGGAAAAAAATCTTCTATAAAAATGTGTGCATTATACCATAGACCCTCTAAAATCTTTTAGAGGGTCTATGATTATATTTACATTTTACAGAATTTAGAAAATGCTACAAACGTGATTGAAATTCTGCTGTGTGTGTACTTTATTTATTCTAAAGGATTATTTAAAAAAACAAGCCCCGATTGAATCCCTTCGATACAAATGCTAATAAAATCACGTTAGACTGTACGACAAAACTAAGAGTAATTTGGGGCAAGATCATATATTCCCACAATGCACCCACAATGCACAGTTATGCCACAAACTCTGTCACATAATAAATCTCAGATGAATCTCAAACACAAATAAATCTAAAAGTGCCATACATTATTCCTTTAATAAATCACTAACTTTGTTAATCAGCCAAGGTAACTTTGGTGACGTATGGCGGAAGTTCGCAGCTGACGGTTCGAGTAAAGGTTTGTAATTTTTCAGTTTTTATCTATTTTTTCTAAATTAACATGACTATTTTTGTTTATAATTTGTACATGTTGTTATTGGTATTAATTAAGTTGGAAAACATTGGTACAATTCAATGGCATAGTTACAACGTACATTGATGACGATCGAAATGGTTGGTACACGGTGCAGCGAGCGGATGAACTGCTGACGATTTGTCATCAATGTTGTCAAACAATGGCAAAATAAATGTGGATACCGACTCATAATCACTTCGATAACGTCACATTTTTGTTATTTATTTGTTGAATAATACAAGATTTTCTTGGAGCCGTGTTGTAAAATTGTGAGTAAATTTAGACTGGACAATGAAGCTAAAATAATTTTAGCTCCATGACTGGAACTATTCAGAATTACGATAGGTCCTTGGAGACAATTTCGAAATTGAACTTGGGGTCGGAAAATCCAATGCTAACCACATTTCATGTTTATCTTTTAAAACTGAAAGAAACACATTTTCAATGATTGAAGTGAAGATGACTTACGCCAACAATCAATCTTCATTGAAATTATGAATCATTATTTTCCATTGGCAACATATACCGTTGTAATATACCATACTAAACCAGCTGATGGTTTCTAACTTTAACCCTAATCCTAACCCTCCAGCCCTCAATTTAGTTGTGCTGGTTACTATATATACTAACTATAGGTGTCCTCCAGGGAGCATATACAATTAATTTGACTGGTGGTAGAAGGTAGGGGGTGAGTTAGAGTTAAGATTAGGGGTGGGGGTATAATGGAAAGTCCAATGAACCTTCCTTGAATTGTTTGCGCAAGTTATGGGTTTCACATAAACAAAAATGGTGACTTTGGCTATTATGCAGACCAATGAGTACAAAATAAGAGGTTACCAAGCTTTAATTAGGTAATTTTATTAGAAGAACACTTTGGATTGTGGGAAAGTCGATGTTTATCAACGCAAATGTTGCACATGTGCGACGCGACAGCCGGCATCAGTGTGACCAATATATTCAGCTACTGTAAGTCATTTCTCATGCTCACAAAATATAAAAAAAAAAACAATCGCATAATCTGATTTAAGCCTGTGTAGCACACCCTTTATAGATAAATTCACAGTCAATTTGTCCCAAAACATTCATCCCACAAGACGATTCGTTTCAATTCATTTGTCCCAATTCACTTTTGTCCCATTCTGTTTGGTCTGTCTTACCATTTTGTACAGGGGGATGTTGATTTCTATGTAGGTGTGTAGATGTACATGTGGGCAAGATCTTGCATGAGGTCTTCTTGATTGTAATGTCATTAATGTAATGTACTTGGTTCACCACAGAATCCAAGTTCCAAGTACGTAATATGTCGAAAGTCATGTATGGTAAAATTTCTGTCATATCATGGGGAGTGGTAAATTTCTGTCATATCATGGAGAGTACCGGTAAAATAGATACCTCCATGGGTAAATAAATACATGTTTGGCATCCTGCTTTTTTCAAACAATGTCTGTCAATCATTTTATTCAATGTGAATATTTGAATACTCCGAATTGTTACTGTTTAGAATGGTGGAATGGAGGAAAAACCCCACTTTAAAAAAAAAAACATCACTCAGGAAGTCTAGGTTTGAATACTTGAACATGCTTATGCAATAATGCATTGCTTTCATAGCGTTTCCCAGCATACATGTGGTACACGAGTAGCTGTTAAAGTGGGGCGTACCCAAGCTTAACATTTTTTTTGGAGACATAGGTATTTTTCTACATAAATATAATTAATTTGGGATATTTCATTGAAGTTGGTGAATGACTGAATGGCCAGGAATGTCCCAGCATGGGTGGGGGTTCAATGGGGACATACTTGGTTGATGTAACAGGAAACATCACACATGTAAACCATGGTTCCAGATACTTGTGTACAGTGATCAATATCGTGTAATATCGATAAATTTTGTTTTCTCACAAATTAGAAAGAATAATGTCGCCTCCCAGTGTTGTGTACATGTGCAACTTTGTTTATAAAAAAATAGTAATTCAGAAAAATTGTTTTTCTCTTGCTACTTGTATGAACCCAAAATATCTGAGGGTTAAAATGTTCCTTATGCGCAGTACAGTAGCACAATATATTTTGTCAATTTTGGTTCAGTGGGATTCAACCCTACTATGTGTTATTCACATTCTGGGCCTACTTCCAAACACAGAAAACCATGGTTTATTGAGTATTTAACCACAGCTTGCATAATTGAAATTTGCTCTTGCTATTGAAATGCTGGTATAAAATAGTAAATGATATGTCGCTGGTTAAAGCCTGTATACAGGTGAGGGTGTTCCCTGGTATGAAAAAAAGCTCTAGTGATCACAGTTTTTTAAGTTAAAGAAGCAGAAAATAAAAAAAAAATACCTGTGTTGAGGGCATTTGTTGCTCTATCATATCTGACGAAGTTCTTACTTTTACTTTTGATACAGTAAAAAGGAAAAACAGACAGATTGATTATGTCTGTTAATTCTGAATGGTGTGGTCTATTTAGCATTGCCATGCACCAATCGGAAGTTTTGCTTACTGTAAAATGGCTAATTTTCACTGGGTTTAAATTTCACTGATTTACCATTTCAGGCATATTCAGTGGGTTTTAAAATCACGGTTTCGTCATTTAGATAATGTGTCCTATGCTCAATTTTACATATTCACTGGATTTTAATTTAGCGCATTTTTCCAGTCAGCAAAATAAGCTAAATTAAAACCCAGTGAATAATTACCCCCTTTACAGTACTAATCTGAGGGGATCATGAAGAAATTAGCCTAACCATGGAGGTAGAAAAGAGAAGGAGTGAGGACGCTATTTAAGCCCATGTTAATCTTATAAACATCCTTTGTCTTCGCTCTGGTTAAGCCACTTATTGTTTTTGTTTAGAAGTCGCTTTATCTACATGATGATAGCCGCTTATTTACACAAGAAAACGAGAGTAGAACTGAAAAAAAAAAAATTCCGTTTAAACATCGTCTATAAAATTGAATGCGCAAACTATAAATAAAAGAATTGTGCATGCGCAACGACCTTTATCGGATCACAAAGGTCATTTCACACTTATAGATAGCGGAAATTCTGCATACGGACGCTACCAAGATGTGTGATTACTTCTTTTCTGGTATTTTTCATCACAATAGTCGTCCAACTTTGGACATTAATTAAAAAAATCCCGCAAATTTTCGCAGTGAAATTTAAAGATACATGATGAGATTATAACAAGATGTTTTGACGAGTCCTTTTTCATTGGTGTGCAGAACTGTGCAGATGTTTAAAATCGCGCATTTTGTTGTAATAGATTTCGGGCGTTGAGTACACTCAGCGTAAAGTCTTTCGCCGCATTTTGTATTATTGTTATCTG